CATGGTGATGTGGCACGTGCGGTCGCGAGTGCTTGTGTCAGGTAGGACTCGTGAGCTACGACGGAGGCCACGCGGGACCAGTAGGTAAACGACGACGGGTGTTGCTGAAAATGTCAGCAGAACCAGCGCAGCGTTGATAGGTACGCTGCATTCGCTTAACTAACGGAGTCCTTGTGTGCTGAGTTTGTTTATTTCAGGTAATGGTTTGCTATATTTTGCTATGCTTACTTTGTAAAGTCCTTTAGACGTCTGTCTGAATAAGCCACTTTTTACTTTACACGTCGCTTAAGCAGCTTGTGGTTATATTCGCTAACTTTTTCTCGTTTGTTGCTTTAAAAAAGAGCCTTTACTGAAATCTTGAACTTCCTGCGAATTGTTGATAACTAGTTGATTGCATTTGCTCATTTAACGGAGAGTTAAGTCTGTGTAACCGGATGCTTAATTCGCGATATATTTTGTTTGATATCGTCACTTCCAGTGGTTGGCTGTTGCATGATATACCCAACGTGGTTGCGCTTCATATGCATATTGACAAAGTGCTTACCTGTCTATGACCTATCACTTCGTCTATACTAGCTCCAGGAGACAGTTGGTTGTTACTGGAGGGGACGGGATGCACGGTCCTCATGGCCGTGCTTGGCTCGAAATGTGGTTCTATGCACATGGTTTTTGCATGGAGCGGACTACGTTCCAGCCACCGTCTTGTTTGCGCTTGATTCTGGAAATACAGCGTGCTTGTTTTGCCTGTGAAGGAGCGTGGGCCGGCTCCGTAGATGAAACCTGCCTCTTATTCACACCCTTCCCGATCAAATTCCTTCGGGTTTACACTGAATATGGGTGTGTGGTTGGAGCTTTGGGTGGTGCAGCGCAAGCCATCCATGGTCCCTCTTAGACGCAGGCGTCCTGTGGCTATCTTATGGAGGCCGCAGGGACAGGCAGATCCGGATGCCGCCAACCATATACATCACTTGCTTTGGTGCGTGTGAAAATCTAAGGAGCAAGTAGTTTCTCGAAGACCTTCAACATCACGATGTACATGCTATTGGACTATACTTTTGGGAGTTCTTCTTGGGTACAGGTGTGTTCCTAATAGATTTCCAAGTGTTAGGGTTGTGCTCTCCATAAGACATCTGTTGCAAATTGCGGTCCGGGTTCCGCAAGATAGTTTACACAGTGCTTTAGGACAAGGGGTGAGAATACATTGGGGCCAATAGCTTTATACACCTTCAACTTTTTGAGTTCTCGGCAAACATTAAACCCGTCAAAGGTGACTTCCAGACCTGTGTTCGTGAGGTGGGGCAAAGAATTAGTACCCTTTTGAGAAGAACAGAACGTAATGTTGAGTTTGTTCACATCCACCTTATGCATGTGCTTTTGGGAACTTCGGCCACATAGGGGTTTCAAAAGTCCCCAAAGTTCGCGACAATCATGACAATCCAGCACAGTCTCTCAACGTATAAGCGCTTCATCTCCTCACATTTGTCTCCTCGGATTTGACTACCAAAGAGTTTTTTTCTAACTTGCTCACTCAGCTTGCATTGATAGGCTTGTTCATTCTTTCTCTTAAGTAGCTTCAGTAGTGGCGAAGAGAATCTATGCATCCGTTGGTAGATGGTCTCAACAGCGCAGCACAAATTAAAGCAGAAGTCAATGTATTCAGTCAGGTGGTCGCATTCCTAAGACAGATTTGCGTTCCTGAATACTGAAAAATCAGTTGAAGTCAACGTCGCGATTTTTTCTGTCGAGCATTCTCACCGTCTGACGGTTTTGTATGCCCTTTTCGTCAAAGAGACAAAGTTGGTTTTGCAGTACATAACTGGGCCCACCTTTAGAATACAGTGATCTGAGTTTCCGAGAGGAGCCGTCGTAAGTGTGGAAATTAACTGAGTTTTATCTGTGAAAACAAAATCTAACAGTGTGTTTAGTCTGATTTTGAAGTTCACCATATTTGTCAGGACACGGTTGGCAATAACTGACTCAGTACACTTCAAAAATATACCCTTTTCCGCTGCAGCTAACTCCCTCATTACCTTGACGCGCTGTGCTACATTTTTTTGAAATTCAGCAGTCTTGCACTGCACCATGTCACGTTGATTTGGCGCATGTCGTCTGTGTTTTGTTATTGGGATAAATCCGATCACGGCGTAACTACTTCCGCAGCAGCCGCGTTAAGAACATTTTCAACCGAATCACTGTTTCTTTCAAGAAACACGGACAAGTTGCTAATGCTGACCGCCTCTATGGATATTTAGTGGTTCGAGTGCCTCTATGGCATAACGTACACAGGTCAAACGGCGCGGCACTTGCACAAACGCATGAACAAGCACTGCCTACCATGGCTGCACCACGGTGTCACCGGGGTCATTAGATGCTCCTTTCTAGCTTGTTTCATCGATAGTACACATCAGGTTGGTCTGAGTATGCCTTTAGATTGGTGTACAAGGTTCCCTTCACCGGTCGAAAGGTCAACGGCTCCGTACACTTGCCACAGCCGAGGCAATTGTTACTCGACTGCTTGACCCCTCCTTATGCTCGCGAACGAAATTGGTCCATGCCCTTGAGGTTCCTTGGCTAGCGAAAACCGAAGGCGCAGAGGTCAACTGCCTCATGCCAAACTCCGAACATACAGTTAACCTATTAAAGCAGTTCAATTTCATCGTCTTTGTAACTCAAATTTAACTTTTACTCCTGTATATGATAGTTATGATCTGAGGATGAATTATTGAGAGCAATTACTCACCAAATGGTCTTGCTGTTCTCGGATTTTTAAAAGTCGACGGTTCCCAGTAGGTTAACGGACCGTTTAGTACCATTCCAAACATTTAACAAAGCAGTGGTTGGACTAATTGTGAGTATTTGAACCGACCTTCCTCGGAAACTTACATGTGTTTGCCATGCATAACGTAAAATTCGTCGATTACTTAGCGGGATGCGATGCAATACCTTTGCAGCATTGCCAGACTTGGTAATAAGAGCAGAAAAAATTCTGTCGAGTAAGTGCCTGAGGACGTGCCTGAGACTTTCTCTCACAAGGCCGGGGGGAAATTTTCTTCAAGATGTTTAGGTGAGCTTTATGCCCTATGTGAGGCCCCGTCCGGCAACCAACTGCATACGTACTACTGCTTATGTGAAAGTAGTAGGAAGTAACTTCAACCTTTGACGTATGATAAGGCTGGTTAGTAGTAGTATGCGCGCGGTCGAGGGCTTCCGTGGGCAGTAATAGATCGCGGAGGCTGAAATGCAGAATAAATACTTCGTCCGCGGCTAGATAGTCTCATCACTACCACGTAGTAAGAGTGGAAACTGGAGGAGGGTGCGCCTGAGTTACACCTCTTGTCGAGCTGGATGCTGTTGTCACATCTGCAGATGCAGCACGGTCTGAGGTGATGGGTCAGATGACGTAAGAACGCACGGGAGATAGCTGCGCCAACGACACCGTGAAGGAAATGGGAAGGAAAAGAGAAGAGGAAACGACAATGACATTCTGCACCAAGGTTGACGACATATTACCTGGGACTTGCTACAGAGTTACTCTTTCGCGTTACAGTAGTGCCAGGTAATCATTATCGTTGGTATTTGGAGGTCATTTTCAAGTAGTCGTTGTGTGAATGGATTGCAACTTGCAATCACCATGTGGACCGCAATTCGTATTGAAGCGAATCTTGGTCAATTCGACAACTGGGACCATAAATTTGGAAGACGGATCTTGGGTGAGAGCAAATAAATCAAACCGGTTTTGGAGTGCAGTGTTTTCTGGTGGGTGATATCCACTATGCATCCATTGATGACAGCGGTTTGCGTCAAACTAACGCACAGGTAGTTTGGTGCGTCATGCGGTATTGACCTAATGCTCACAAGCAAATTGTCTTATCATGCAATCCCATCTAACTGTCAGGAGCACGTTACGGGAAAATTACAGCGGATTGAAAAGTGTGTATATTAAGTTATCGTGTCATCCTCAGTTCGTTTCCGAACCAGTTGCTTTCCACCTGAAAGTTCCAGCAAGAAAGAAAATGCCACACTATGTAACGTGTGAAAGTGGACAACAAACAAAACGTTTCCACAGCCGACAAACATAGCCTAACTGTTCGATTTGATCCGGATACTTCCGTTTGGGCAAGGTCGGTTTGGGTATTTGACACGGAACTCGAGATGGCGTGTGGCGATACCCGTTCAAGCTATTTCTCGAGGTAAAGTGATTACTACGTCACGTGCTTATGTGGTTTAAGGTTTATATCTATTATCTTCGTCGCAATTTAGGTTGCGTACTGCCTGCTGTACTTTCGGTTTGAAAAGTAGTTATCAAAGCCAGCAAGTCTCTTTTGAACGTTCTACTGGTCGCACGTATTTGATGTGCTCCCGAGGTAGATGATACCCAGTTTGAGTTTTCCAATTAGACTGGTACCCTAACAAACGCAGCGACTACGATATTTTTACCTTACAGAATGCTATATGGAATGTATGAAACACTAGTACACAAAACTAAGCTCTACCAGTCTTTAAGTTGTTATGTGGATTTACTGCAATGACAAGAGAAGTCCGAAGGTCAACCACTGTCCTCTCCGCGGACAGTAGCTTGAATGGCAGTGGAGGATGGGTCGGGCTAAATCGCAGTTAGGTTGCAATTCCTGGTGGTAGGATGTGGTCCCCCAGGGCTCAGTGGCATAAACTGCTGCGCAGTGGTGCAAGCCACTAGCGGTCATGGGTTCGATCTCCAGCAGGGGATGGACGGTATGTGCACCACTAACAGCTTCCAATAAGATGAAAGGATTGTTTGATGCTTTTCAGGCTTGATAGCTCATCTTTGCGGCTTTGAATCAAATTGCAATGAACCAAATAAACATTAGAAATATTTGGTACATAGCGTTTCTCTGGTGAGAGGCCATACTAGCTGATAATTTATGGGAATGTTAACTGCTGAATAGGCGCTTTGTTGTGATGTAAAACTCTGTTAGAACTTATGCGGGTCTCCTGTCTCCTTATCTATTTGTGCCTTGCAGTTTCACATACGAAAAATGGAACATTATTATCCTAGCAGTGCGATGTTTTGAACCTCCTCAAATGGTCATCAACCCGACGAATATGCAATATGTGATCCAGGGGAACAAGATGCGGGCCATTGTGATTGCAAAGGACTACACGGAGGCACTACGGTGTGTTTCATGCGGTCTATTTTTACGATAACGTCTGCTTCTCACATTTTTATTTCCACAACGTAATGAGGTGTGTTGTTCATAATGATATTTCCTGCTCTCTGGTCATATACAAATGAGCAACATGTTAAACGATCGCTGAGGGAAGGAATCAACAGGTTGAATTTTCGGAAGTGAAAGCACACAATGGCACATGTCACCAGGGGGATCACAAATCGTGAAACAGGTCTCACGGTCCCCGAGGAAACTTGAGTGTGACAGTTAGCTGTTTTCCATTCAAATGTCAGATCAGTTGCGATCAATTTTCATGGCCTCCGTGACCATTGGTCGCTGCCGTTTGGATTGCGGTAGATAATCATAAACCTAGCAGACGCTTAGCAGTCGATGAGGCCGGCATTTTGAAGCCTGTCGTAGGTCTTCATCTTTGACCTCTCGTAGCGTCAACAACACATTTCTGAATATGCCCTTCTATATTGTCGATACTAGTCGATTCACCGAGGGGTTTCGAATTTGATGTAGCCAATACTGATGCGAGAAAGCTGATTCCGTAAATGAATCGTGACGCGTGTCTATTTGTTTATCACCATGATTTAACTTCATCCACGCAGAAAAGTGAAGAGCCGTTACACATTTTGCTGTGATTAAATTACCGACAACAAAATCTATGTATAATTGTCTCAGGAAAGGAATTTTGTATGCTGCTTACAGGCTAAGTGTGTTTTGCTACGCAGACTGATGGCACTGAACCACCGGGTCCATCTCAACGAGCAGACAATCTGAGGGGAGAGGCTTTCCACGGAACGACTGTGCTTCGAAGAGTGTTCAAACTTCACTGCCCCAAAGTGAAACACCATTCAAGTGTTCATCGGATTGTTTTTTCGAGTTTCCAAGCTCATTATCTGAGCCACTTCAAACAAAGTGTTCCTGTCGATGTAGTCAGCTTTTTCATCCTGGAAGCTAGGCCCAATGCTTTAAACAACGAATACTACCAGAGAAGGCACCACTGCGATCGTTAGATCGTCGCACTTAGGTTACTTCGGTCAGCGTGTATCAGTTTCAGAAAAATGTTCAACCCCCAGCTGAGGAAATCCGAAGGCATGGGCTACGAAATATACCGTGGTTTATGGCTGTGCGGTTAACACCTTGTTCTGTCCGGAGATCCTCACTACATATTTTCTCTGCTGGGCTCTGGAACTTTTGAGAGAAGTAAAAATCGCCGACCGGAATAGATTCAATTGGCATGATCTAGCAAATGGTGACGGAGAAAAGATAGGCATTTTCAGTAGATCACTTCAACGATCGTCTAGGTTGAGGAGTGCTAGATGAGGAAGCCTAATGTATCTGTTCTGCACCCACCTGGCCATCTGGCAAGTTTCAGGTAAATACCGACTGGGCGAAATGTTAACAGTAAACTGGTGACTCTGAGTGTATGCTAAGACGCACAAAACCCATGCTATTGCTGATATTTTAGGCACTGTCCTCCCCGACAGTAAGTTCGTATCTACTGGCGCCGTCCCAATATCTTGTTTAATGGACGAGGTGACCTTTTCATAAGCGTTCTTACCTTTAGCAAAGTCACCAGGGCGGTAAGAGACTGGCTAGTGCAGTGGGAAGGAAATATCCACTCAATAGGTGTCGAAAGGAAAATAGTTGACATCCGCCTTCCGTGAAACCACATTTACCAGGTAAATCATTTCAGCAATGATGTAAATGTAAATGCTATCAGGCATTTGGAAAAGCAGAGCTGAATGAACCCATTACCTTAGTGTTCATGCAGTAGTTTCACATACCAATTGGAGGAACCAGTCAAAAATGTGTCGTCATTTTGAACGCAAATAGTTCATGAACCTAGTGTCATCGTAATCTTGTTATTCCCATTCGATCTTCCCATCTGGGAAACAAAGGAATGGCGTAGGCGTAGTTTGCGCTGTTGGCTGAATTTCTATCCCCCTTGGTAACAAGTGAGTGGCTGTACTACTGCGACCAAACATGCTGACCCCCATCTCAGCAAAACAGGCTGCAATCGCAATGCCGATCTGCAATTTGTTGCCGCTTCAATATTCCATCACATGTTGCACAGTTTTTTGTGTGTTACTCAGACAACTTAGGTCGATGTGCCAAGTCTAACCATTTCCTGCGTAATGAGTGAAGGCATACCGCATGATGATCTTGAAATATACTCAGAGCCGATTGAGGAGTCGTGGTTTCAGTGAGATTTGTGGCCAACCGCCTGAAGGGCCTTCTTCCCACAGATAGGACGATGACCTGAGTGTAAAAAATCAACTACAAAGACGGTGCACACACACACACACGCACACACATTGGTCAGACATCGAGAGAGCTACGGACAGGTGGCTTAAAACATAAAATGGCGCATTCTGCGACCACAGAGGAATGAGTTTGAATACAGAGCTCTGTTAAGAGACCCTGCCATAGCTGCACATGCACTAGATATCGGGCATCAGATCGATTCGGGTAATTTCGAGATGGTTAGGAAGGGTTTACGAGCGAAGCCCCAGTGGTTAATTGCCGAGGCAATCGAAATCGCTAAAGCTGATAGCTGTGTGGATAGAGCGGAGGAGATGGCATTCTCGACTTCGTGAATAACAATCTTAACCCGACCAGCCTGACGAGCTTCGATACTTGCGTCAGGTTGGATGGCAAAAAGTGACATAATCATCATTTTCACCAAATTATTACTTGACAAAATGACGGACAGTGAAATCTCAACTATAGTTCTATTCTGACTGACCCCCTGAGATGACTTTTCCATCTGTGTCGCTAAGATGCACTTGACTCTTATCTCAGTTGTCACGATTACCTCCCTCGCTCGCTATAAAATGCCACCTCAACTATGTACCAAATAACCTGGCCTGACGAAGCTGTTGTGTCAAAAGCCGAACGCTGCCAACTAAAAGAACCAACCGATTGTCCACAAATCTTATCCAAACTATTCACTTGATCTTTTTGTTGTCCCAGACTGCAATGGTACTGCACCACCTGCCTAGCCCATGAATCCGTCGAACGGTGCCAGTGTACCAAGCCACGCAGTAGCCGACGTCAGAAAGTGACAATTGCCAAAGGTGAGTAAATATAGTCTATCTCTCCCCTTACTATGTGATTTAGATAGTATTATCATTTACCGAAACATTGAGAGACAGCTCATGGTGCATTGTGAGATAGAGGTTTGTGCCACAAATTCTTGACTGCTGGTTTACACAAGCAGGACCGCTGATCTCTCATGAGCTACCATTAAGTTCACACATGAGAAACCCTGTCATGGATTGTTGGTGACAAATGGGATGGTTAGGGAGGCGGACTAATCCCTCGCCCAATCTATGCGCTTGTGGTTTCGTGTCATCGAAATCATCTCCCGACCCATATTCCGATGCTAGCATGAGACTATACACCGTTAGTTATCGAACTAATCAAGATTGACAACTAATTGCCGGTCCGGTAACATTTTCACTTTGACGGACTGTGAATTCCTCTTTTGTAATTAGACTCGACGCTGTTGCTCACTACATTGGGATCATACGTACTCCGCTGTTCCTGAACGCTCTTAAGCGAACGCTCATTACAACTTTCCTGTCGTTCACTGATGGTCAGTTGTGTCTTCTGTGTTTTGTCGGATGAAATATAAAAGATGGAAAGGTGCGGAACCAAATGCGACGAACGAGCTGATCAGGAGCGAAGGCAGAAATAGGTGGAAGCAAGGTTGAACAGGACATTAAGAAGGCAACCAGTCAGGTGCAATGATGCACATGATTAGGTCGGGTCTGGTCGGGACCCAAGGACGATAAGAAGCCCCGTCTAAGGAGCGTCCAGTTTCATGTAGTGAGAAACAAACCAGGGCCTCAGGCGCTTCCATGTTTGAATCGCAGTCTTGGCTTCGAAAAACTTGAAGCACGAAAGTAAGCAACCTGTGTTCTCATGAATCGTGAGGTCTGAGTGGCAGGTCTTAACGAAATTACGATTATTCTGGTAAAACATCGCGAACTGGGCCCAGCGCAAATAGTAGACGGACGAACGGATTGGAATACCACCCGCTTAACCGCACACCCAAATTCTTCCAATTAATTGCCTGATGCACAACGACTATACCGATTGCTTGACACACACATCCCTAGACCCTCGCGCGCAAGAGAGTAAGAAGACCGACCTTTGCAGTGCTTGTTACAACCAAGCAAATGTGATACGACCAGGACCCCACTTTGATTGTAGAGAGAATGACTCACTACAACAAGGTGTGAGATTCAAAAAGAATGTGTGTTACCACACGGTCTAAAGATAATCGCTGGCGACTTCAGTCTAGCGAATATTACTTGGTCACCACAAACATCCTCATCATGGCACAGATCTTTCTTATCGACTAGCAGGGTTGGGGGTTGGGCTCAGTGGGTTATCAGACCAACTAGGTTTGCCAACATACTGGAGTTAATCTTTACCCTGGGGATTACTGTAGCACAAATTGACATCGTAGACAACCTACCGCGTAGTGACCACAACATGCTATGCCTTTCCATCCACTTGGAAATGAATACCAAACTCGGCTCACCTACCCAGCATACTGTACGAAGGATTGACTGGGAGCATTTCGGAAGACAGATCCGGTGCTCTAACTGGGATAGGTTCTTTCTCTCCACTAGCACCGACATTGCAGTGGCACATTTCTACTACCAGATCAACCACATTCTAACTGTACATGGCGTGCATAATAAACGTGCCATTCCTTGTCCTCTGAATGTAAGCGACCCTCTGAGTGACTTGAAAAGGAGAAAACTACTCGGGAATTTCAGAAACACTAGAGATTTCTCACTAGTATTACGGCTGCAAGAAGCCACCGCCTGCATCAAGCGCTCACAAATGAAACGGATTGAAAAGGATAAGGAGTACGCCTTTCAGATGACATGGAAAGGAATTGGTCAAAGTACCCCGTCGTAGGACTAACAAGCGAAGGTATTTGGTTATAGAGGAGGGTCGCCACCTTAACGACCCACCTGCTATTTGTGAAAGGTTTAACACATTTTTCGCTGCTTTCATGAACGTAGAAAGCGACCCTATACCTTGCTCCCGGCGGCATAGCTAATGTTGAGATTTCTCTTTCGACCATCCAACAGGCTATGAAGTCCATCAAACCATCGCTCAAACTAGACTCTGATGGCATCCCCCCATCAGTTATTAAACTTGGTGGACCTGACATACCACTGCTTTTGCTAAACATGATCACCTTGCCCTTAGAATCTAGCTACTTTCCGGATCAATGGCAAACATCGTTTATTGTCCCTTGTCATAAAGGGGGGTCCAAACAGCACGTCACTAATTATCGATCTATCCATCATACTCCCGTCATCGCTAGATTACTTAAAAAATTAGTTAAAAGTGGAATCATGAACTTTCTCCATCGTCATGGGCTACTTAACAAAGCCCAGCATGGGTTCTTCGACAAACGTTCCTGTACAACGTGTCAGCTGCACTAACTGGATTATATCACAGAAGCCATTGATACGAAATAGGCAGTCATAATACTGTTCCTGGATATGCAGAAAGCATTCGACAGTGTCCCACAAGCGGCTACTGAAAAGAATCGAGTCATTTGGAATCAGAGACCCACTATTTGGTTGGTTGACATCATACGTAAATGGGCGTTATCAAATAGTCACTCTGGGTAATCATAACTCCTCCCCACGTCCAATCACTAGTGGTGTCATCCAAGGGAGTGTGCTTGGTCCTTCGCTTTTCCTACTTTATATTAACGATATCACGATGTTCATAAAACATGGCAGGCCATTTTTTCACTGATGACATAAAGATTGTTTATAAAGTTCGACGAGACGAACTCAGTAGCGCAACGCTGTTCGTTCAAGAAGACCTCGATTCACTTGAGAAATGATGCAACATATGGATGCCAAATTGCTCAGCTAGCAAATCATGCATTATGTCACACGGCTGTTTAATTGCCGAAGAATCTGTTAAAATGAACAATGAAAGTATCTGTGTGGAACTGTCCAACTATGATCTAGGTATACGGTACTCTTCTAACTTTAATTTCTCAGAGCAAGCTGAGTATAAAATAGCACGTGTCAAACCATCTGTGGCTAACATATGTCATAAAATGTATACAGCCCCTGCCAGACTCGAGCTTATCAAAATACTTACACTTCCTGTCCTTGAATACTGCAGCATCATCTATGGGAACATGCGAATGGGTGACAGGCAAGCTTTAGAAAAACAGCAAAGGTCATTCACTAAGCGCTTGTTCAGTACATCAACCGTCTTGAGTTATCAGGAGCGCTGCCAGCGGCTTAAGCTCGAGGCCCTTTGGTTGCGACGACTGAAACATAACTTGATACTGATACATAATCTCATAAACCAAAACACATAATCCAATCTGTGTACACTTAAAATTCAACATAACTTCACTCGGAATATATGCAAAAAGACCTGTACATTATGTGTGCCGAGAACCAGGACAGCTATCTTATCCGGCTTCTTCTTCGTCAGATACGCTGTCGTGTGGAATAGCCTACCAGCTACAATCAGGTCTTGCACAAATGCAAGAGCATTCCACATTCAGCTTAGCAAAGTCCTTAATCAGAACTTGATAATGACCATGTTTCCATCGGGTAACTCACTACATGAGTTCTTTCAGGATGGAATAAGGGATATACAATCAATGATTAAAGATGGTACAAAGAACTCAGCAACAACGAAAGTTACGTGATTTCAAATTATTTTGCTATCATACACCTCATATTACATATTTCACTCATACATGAGCATGATAATTATTGTACCCATGATATGCCCACAATCCAGGGGCAGCTTCTCGTACACTAGGGAAATATACGTATAATTACTATTACTATTATTATTATTATTACGCAGTTCCATACCCGCTGAGCTCGTCCTGAATTTGCTGCTTTGAGGGCAGGGAATCCGTCCAACGCTTCGCGGCCTGGTGATGCGGGCAGTGGTGTTTAAATTTTGCGGAGCCACTTGGCAGGATGGTTGTTTCAACGGAAAATTAGATAAAGGGTAAAAAGATTTGCCCCAATGTCTTACCTGGGCAGTTTCTGTTTAATGGTTCCGCAATTGCTTCGATATACCTAATTCGAGCCGACCAGTAGATTTGATAGTACAGAAGCCATTCACATTCTTGAGCTTATCTATCAGACCCGCTTTCACTTGCGACATTCTAGGAAAAACAATTTGAAGCTCCTTAGGTGACCGTCATATGACTTCTCACTGTGGCCTTTATTTATTCATCCTAGTTAACAGGGTTGGTATCTTTTCCATACAGGTAACATTCCAGATATGGCGCTGAAGCCTACATACCGTACTTTAACTGAGGTCTTCCCACCGTCTTGTATTACGGAATGAAAACCTCATAACTTTCACTTGAGGCCGAAAAATCCTATCACACACTGCTGGTAGGAAGTCTACTCTGTGCTGAAGTTTTGAAGGTATTCCTCACAAGTATACCTTAGTCATTGGCTTCCTCCAAATGTCGTAATATCATGGGCCGGGCATCGCAATCCAATCGCTACTAGAAGTCAGTACGGGACGCATACTGGAGTTAAGAGGCAGTTTCCATAAGATCGACCATTTCGGCACACTGCAAAAGCTCTTAGGCAATGTGTCCTGCTTACTCCTGTCGGCGAGCGTTGGACCATCCGCAAAGAAATGGCAAGTGCCCTCCAGAGGAAAAGACAAGTTTATAAACATGTGAAACAGCAGCGATCCTAGAACAGAACCCTGAGGGACACCGCTGCGAGCAGAGCCTATGCTTGAACTGTCATCATCAACTCTAAAGCGGAAGGCCTTCACGCAAAGTCAGCCAGCTATCCAAGTCAGTAGTTGAAAATGTATCCAAAAACAGACCAGTTTCTACTAACAATCCATCAATGAGATAGTGATACTTCGTCTAAAAAGTACAGTAAGTTGGTAAGATATGATTTCACCCAAATGACAGTCGTGTTACTCCACTTCTATCAAATACTTAACAACTAATTGCTCACAAATTCCGACCATAACAAGCTTCTCTAGGCATTTAGGTGGAATTCCTGTGAGTGGATTGGGGACAAGAATGATTCGTGTCTTAGCTTCGGAAGCATAAGCGAGAGAATACATTATAGGGTAAAATCAATGCAATAGGGGGCAATGTTGACAGGGCTTGCAAGTTATCCTTGAGCTACACGTTACAGTTTGATGTGTTTAATTATAGTACTGAGTCTAATTGATTCAAGTACACAGTAACACCCATACGAACCATTTCCAATCCATTTGAGTTATAAGTTTTCAGACATGCTTCCCATGAAAATGGGGGTACGCCCAAGATGACCTTGGTTGTTCCAAGTAGATCGGAAATTCCCGAAGAAAAATTACGTAACACTTCGACCTCGTGCATACAGTGTTTAACTGTTTCGCCTCAATAAGTTTACAACAAGTGATATACCCACATGCTATCCAGACGTGACATCCGTACAGTTGTGCGGCCTCACGGTTCTCGGAATCCCCGCTCTGATAGCAGCCACATAGTTGCGATTCTTGTATTAAACCTTAATGGTCGGTATCTTATGATGACCCAGTGTTATAGAGATCACGTAGGTCAGCCAGACGGAAGCACGTGAAAAGCGATCGATTTCCAGCGAGTGTTTGCATGTCAGCTTGGAACTTCCAGCCAACCACACAACATGTAAGAATCGATTGGTTTCGAGCAAGTGTGTGGTGAACGTGCGTTAAGTGGCCCTTGCTTTCCGGACAAGTGCTTGAAACGTCAGCTTGTGTGAGTAAACGTTTCAAGCAGTATCGCAAGCCAACCACATGGCGGTTACTCCAAATGCAACTTTGCATTCCTTACCACTATGCCAAGCGTTGTTCACGGATCTTCGTGGCATGGTGACCAAGGCGTTAGCGGTGAACCATTAGGCCCCGAATTCTACTCTAGCTTAGATTATCTCCATCTGATGAGTCCAAAGCAGGACTCAATCGGTCATGGGGTGTCAGTGTTGGGAGGAGCAACACCGATACACTTACATTGTGACTTCAGTCTTTTACTACACAGCGTGAGCTCTAACATCTATCAGATTTGAATGAATCAACTCCTTCAAGTCACTTGCTAATAAAATGTGAGTCTGAGTGTCCACTGTCCAAGGTTGGCCGCGAAATCTAGCCACAATTAAGAAGCTGTGAAATAGTCATGTGTGGCGCAACAACTGTTGCACACTGCAGAACCAAACAGCACTAATTTGCAGCATTAAGCTTCTCAACATGGGAGACATTTCCTTATCTTCGTCATCTGCTATAGAGAGTAATGGAACTCCCACACATCTGCTTAAAATACTCCCCAATTTTCAGTAACAGAACTTTTGCCAGTTTCACCTATTTCACCGTGTTACATTCAGTAATGTATCACGAGAGTATTTTCGTCAGGTGTCTCTCCTTGGCAATAGAGCTCCACTATACTGAGGCTGCCTCACAGCTTTTTAGAGCCGTTTTGTCACCTTTGTCTGTGAGTAGATGGTTGATGTTAATTATTCACATAATTCAATACCTTCCATCCTTGGCACGGTGGAGAAGGGTATCGAATTTGCCATTAACAGTCCAATACAAAATACAAATCTAGGAAGTCGTCAACAGTCGACAAAAATTTGGCTCATTGGGCGATTTGTTGGGAGCGTACTTAATACCTTGTGAAGTAACCCAGCCCTTTCGAAAATAAATCGGTCACGAGCACCGATAGAAATGGAGGATTTTAATGTCATCTTGGAAGTAAATCCGGTTACATCGATGTGTAGACATTCATCTTAAAGCAAAGAATGACGTGTTTTATAAAAGGCATTTTTAACGATCCTCTAGGTCAGTGTTTCTCCAAGTGTTGTCCGCAGACCCCTTGGGGATTCCCATGAAGCTTTCAGTGGGTTCGCGGGATTTCCCGAAATGCTATAAGCCCGTTAGAATCTTTTGAACGCAACCATTTTATTTTACAGTTCGATGACAAACCCGCAATAAAATTGTGTTAAATAATAGCTGACACTCACATTAGTCTAGTGATGGATCACTGTAAAGCAAACTCCTCCCAAGAAGGAACGTGAGTTTTGCAGTAGCCTCAAAAGTCAGTGAAGGAAGCTATCAAACATCATAAAGGTAATGTGCTGATCTCTTGTGATGTGATTGGTAGTAGCTGGGTGGATCATCCTTCGACTACATAAGCTCGCACAACTCAGTATTGGCCCTAGAGAGGAGGCGAACAATAAATCATATGGGCCCATTTTACGATCATTTCGAAATTCGATAGCCTCCGAAACCGGCAAATCTAAAAGAGAAGCCCATTGGTGGTGCGATCCAACTTTGGGAAGCCCAGAAGGAACGACGTTACAAAAGATGACTGTTCTGTTCACTTTATTTTATAATTCCTTCACAGTTCGATTTAACAACGTAATCAAAGTTGAGGTACGTTTTGTGATTTTTTATAAACATATAGGATACGTCGTTAGCTGAGGACAAGAACATTGGTAAATGTGTCATGGAAATATTCATTATCGAATTGCTATCTAGTAATAGTTGGTATCCGATACTTCCTTTCAGGAAGCGTTTCACAAAGTGTTGCTGCCTGAGTTCTGGTGTAAAGCAAAAGACGTACTTTGTCATAGCGAAGACGTCTGCCGCCATGCTTTCCTCATTTGCCACACTTTATCCGTGTAAAGATACACTTTCGCATTACACATGAAGCGAAATACCGCAATAGACTTGAAGCTCAGCTAGATATGAGGTTGCGGTTTTCTACAATAACATCAAAAAGCAAAGAAGTCAGCACTGCATGTCAGGAACAATTTCACCCGTCAAACTCGAGATTGATTTACATTGCTTTTTATATCGATATGCTATATCTTTCACTTTTTAATAATTAAAACGAACATCCGTGTTTATTCAGTGTACGCTAATGGATATTCCGCTTCATTTTCAGCTTGGTTAAAAATATCTCAGGTGGTCCACCGTGTGCACTTCCACTGAAAAGGGGTCCACGGCCAAAAACGTTTGAGAACCGCTGCGCTAACTGATACAGTCATTTGTCCATAGCAGAACCTAAATTATCATGATATTCTTTCTTCTGCTCATGGTAGTACCCACTTATAAAGCCTCATTTTACGTTCAATTTTCATAACAGATTTGGCGCTGTATCAGCAGATTGATCAATCTAGGCGACGAGATTTCACCAGGTGAGTGTTACACTTACGCGTACCTTAACTTCCTGACGCTCGAGCTTAGGATCGACCATAAATAATCCATTCCTTGAGATTTAGATTATCGAATCGTACCATATAATGAGTGCGGATTTCTAATCTGCAGTTGGGACATAATCATCTATGCTAATGCACTGTAATAATACCCCCATTCCTAGTCACCACATTCGGTTCTGGATTTTTTGCCCCAGATGTTGTAGCTACAGGCAAAATCTGGTTGACTTATTGGCATGGCTGTCCTTTTCGGTACCGCTGGTGACTACATCTTTAGCCATTGCTTACCGTACGCATACACGGGAATATCCAGTATTTCATGAATGTGGAAAAGCTAAACTACACTCTTTCAACATGAGAAGAACTTTACGTTACCGACTAAAATACGATGGCTTAGTGGGAAGTATAGAAAGAAGAAGGTCTTGGGTTTTCGTCTTCAAATGGTCGAGAACTTCCTATTTTTGCTCATGATAGGGGACTTCCTGTTATAGCGAAGAATCCTTCACCACTCCCCGTTGTTTTGTAATTCTGCCCCATTCACTCTTATTCATACCGTCCTCTTTTACGCTTCTCTGCATTTGTCTTCCTTTGTCTCACATTTGTGCCTAGCTTGGGTTGACACTGAATCTTAGGCATTTCCCTTACTCTGTAAGTTTCGCTCGTTGGGGAGACACCGTATGGATTCTTCGCCCCTGGAATGACTAGCTTTGATTGATCGATTGTCACCCTTTCTGCATAGCTTGTGTATATGCCCTAATTTGAATCATGTGATGGAGTTGCACACCCAGACGCTTGGCGTGCGGCGTGAACATTGTTTTCTGCCCGGTCGCTGGTGTTCACACTACCGTTAGTGGGTGGAAGCAGTCGCGGGGCTCCGACACAATGCTTCCCTAACAGATTAATGGATGGAAACTTGACAAACAATTATATAAATGTGCTTTATCCTGACAGTATAAGGCACGGTCCCATAAACTTGTTCTGTTCGCATTACCTAAGTTTTATGCAAATTATGGGCGCAACCGGTGTAACTGTCTACCTGCGAGAAACGGGTTTAATCTAACCAGACCTCTTCATCAGTTGATCAAATTCTCCAATCGATAAAGGTAGTAACGCACACGTATATATATATATATATATATATATATATATATATATATATATATATATATATATATATATATATATATATATATATATATATATATGCGGTATTAACTTCAATGGCAATTGTCCCCAAAATAGACCGAGTTTTTCACAACCAGGGAATTTGGAATAGAGAATAATAAAATGTGGGAAACATGTAAAGGAACTTGATAATGAATGCAAAAACGGAACAAGAATTTGTGTGGTTTTACACACGCTATTTTGTAATTTTTTGCGGTTTTTAAGTTAGTGATTTTGTCAACGTGATATCAGGCAGACATGTGCGCGCTGATCCCGCTGCGACCGGTTTAGTGCCATTGCTTCCAGCATTGTGAGTCATTGGCATTCTTCCTCTTTGTGTCTCCAACCGAGGAGTCTTGCTGGGCCAGCGGTGGCCAGGCAAGATGTCATCGATTTCATGCATGGTCGCCAGGTAGACGAATGACTTCCACACAGCCTTTCCCAAAGTAAACCTGCATGTCCAAACAGGGCACGGCGTGCTAAAGGCTCGTTAGGCATGCGCAGGACGTACCCAAACCATTTAATTAGACGCAGCCGGACGACATCATAAAGCAAAGCAACTGCGTTACCCAAGGTGCGGTGTCTAACCTCATCATTACACACTGGCTGTTGTCAACGTACGCGGGCAATGCTCCGCAAAAAGCTACTGTAGAAGGTCGAAAGGCTACGCATGTCTTCCACACGGATCGGTCAGGATTCGCATCCGTACAGCAATGTCGCGCGGACACAGGCTTCATGAACCCCGCCTTTTAGCGAGAGTGAAATGTCACTACAACGCCACAAATGTCTTGTTAACAAACGCTGACCGGAGTTTAGCGATTCGAAGGGATACCACTGCTCCGATAGTGCTGTCAGCGGAGACGCAGTTGCCTAGGTAGATAACACTCTCTACGTGTTCAAGCTATGTGTCTTCGATGGTGTATTGCGAAATGGGTACCTGCCAGTCCTGTAGAAGAATTCTGTACTTGGAGGAAGCAGAGCACATACCCAACTTAGACGCTTCAATCATCAATCGATCAATGAACGCTTGCATCCCATGGGGTCGTCATCGAGTAAGGCAATATTATCAGCACAGTCTAACTCGATCGCACTGTTACCTGGAAGAAGCTGGATGCCGAAGTTCTGGAGGCTCTCTAATGCTCCAAAAATGACATCGTCGATCGCAACGTTGAAAAGAAATGGTGATATCGGGCAGTTTTGTCGCACGCCACTGGAGACAGGGAAGGGAGGGGAAAGCGTGCTATAGGCTTTCCATCGATCTGAAATGTGGAGGTATAACTCGCGAAGTATGGCGACGTAATTTTCGTGAACTCCTTTCTTCAGCATACAATTCCAAAAAGCAAAGCGATCTAGCGATTCAAACGCAGCTCAAATATCCAGGAAAGTGACGATGATGGGTCTGCGGTAGAGATGAGGATGCTCCAGGAGTTGACGAAAAGTGATAATTGGACCCACACATCCTCGACCGGGGCGAAAACCATCCTGCTTTTCCCGGTAGTGTGACTCGCGAGTGGCGGATAACATGCGGAACCTGATGGATGCTAGTAGCTTGGAGGCAACAGATATAAGGCTAATGCCTCTGTAACTGACACACGAAGTGTGAACGTTTCTTGAAGATTGGAACAATGAGTGACTTCCCCAAGAAGAGGGGGCTCTTCTTTCCTGTCAGGTCTCCAAAAACAGCGAAGTTAGCTGCTTGATGACTGCTGCACCGCCGTATTTGAACAACTCTGGGGAAAGTTCATCTGAGCTGGCCGCCTTGCAGCACTTCAAATGACGAATCTCAATAGAGATCTCCGCTTCGGTTGGTGGTTCGAATGGTACTAACAATGACGTGCGACTGGGTGTACTGGGAGCAAAGATGAATGGCAACGTTCTGCCATCCGTTTAGCCACGCTTCTTGTCGTGCGTCCGATGTGTTTTATACCACAAGTATAAGCTACTTGGATAGGATAAAAGATTGGAACGTGACCGGGAGTCAGTCATTATGTCTTTGACAGGTAGGCAGCAGTGAACAACTTGGAAACGCACAGTTGCACATTGCAACAACTCCATTTTTGAACATTTGATCCAAGGCGGGCATCACAATGTGACCTGGGAACCTTTTGAAGTTATCTACTCCGCGCTAAAACTACACAATGAGATTAAAGTGCGCAGAGCTCAACAGACTTGTGATAATGGCGATAGCTGCGAAGCACAATGCGCCGAGTTTCACTTCCAGCTCGGCTATCTCTACCTAATGAGTCTAAACCAGGAGAAAACCGTCAGTCGTGGAGTACAGGGATGGGAGAGACCCACACTGAAATTCTCCACTTCAGGGACGATCCCGGTGGTCGTATTGGCAGAGATTGATTTCATAATCAACACAACTTCATAGAACACAATTGAGATTGCGTGTCGCAATCCAAGATACACGGCAGGTGCTCCAAAACCCGAAACGCAAGTACGTAATGCTTCCAATAGCTTAATGAAAAAGGCAAACCCGTGAGACGGTAAATAGAGCGTGTGGCTTGTCCAGGTGGGATTACATAGCGGCTTCCTAACTTGGTTCATTATCAAAATCTCGGGAACATATAAACACATCTTATAACCTGGCGAAAACGGAGCCGGAATCTTCTGTATTTTTTTGCAAATCCCCTAAATGGTTGCGCAACTACCCCCTTTCTTATGGACATTTTCCAGTCGATTCTCACAGTTTTGCATGTTCGCCTACGACTCTGTAAATAAATGTCTCGGGGTATCCGTTTTCACGTAGTCTTTTGGCTCCCCCCCTATTTCAACACACTGTCAATTATAACTTGAGGCAAATTGCGGTGAGCTGTCATGAAGGCGGTGTGAAACCATGCTCCTTTGTAGTTTATAGGAAAGTAACTGTTCTATTTAGGATTTTGTCCTATCCATGTAGGCTTGCGACGTACGGATCACGGAAGCGTACCGTCTGAATTCATTTTCCAGCTTACATCCAGAGAATGGAAGTCGATGTCCATTTCACTTCTCATCGTGAATTTGATCGTAGGTTGGCATGCTTTTAGAGCATCGAGTAGATACGCTTCGTGCAAAGCGGAATTAACCACAGCGAACGTGTCGTCAATGTATTCAATGTACATGTTACGGACATCCACGACCGATGCGTCATGCCACACCCAGTAACCACACGCGCACAATCACCTGACTATAGTGTATTCGCTGATTGGTCTCTGTTTATCATTGGTTCGTTTTGGTCCTGTATGTTTTCACTTTGCTCCGGTTAGGAGCGGAGGACATTTTCACACGTATCATCCAGCGTTGGGGTTTTTCCTACATCCAAACGGACTATGGGTCCACACAGGGATTAGGAATACACGATCTGTACGTAACAAAATGGCGATGAGCAATACGAACCCAGTTGCGGGTCTCTCATTTCTCTGGCCGGAGGCGTCAGAAAAGGCTTTCTTACAAACACGAATTCAATGGCAAACTTCCTTCCAACGTCAAATGACTCTTTTCCCTGTGTTGAATCCTTCCATCATACTGTCAGATACCCACTGGGTTATGTTGTTCCTCCAGGCACTTGGTTCCGAAGGACGAAGACATTTCGATGCAATGAACCCAATGCTTTAATCTGGGATCTCACAAGTGGTTTACTTATTTGAAGAACTATGGGGAATTCAGCAGAGCGCGATTTCCGCTCGCTATCAGTGTTGGAAGTTACAGCAGCAGCACGGAGACATTCCAAACGATTTTATTGCATGTAATCACCAAGCTACCCCGGAGTGTCGTTACAGTACAATTCCTTCGACCCGTTTTGAAGAAGTCATGAAAATTCAACGCCTGATAGC